TCGATCTCAATGTCCCTACAATTACTTAATTCATGGTGACTGTCGGCATTCCTCAATTCCCCAAGTATAATATCCTGATCCCCTTCTTCGCTTAGAAGTTTATGAAAGTAGGTCTGCCACCTCCTCTTAATCTGGTCATCTCCCATCAAAACTTTGTCGTCATCATCTTTTATGCACCTCACTTGGTCCAGATCCCGAGTTGTCTTCTCTCTCGCCTTAGCGAGTCGAAATAACTTCTTCTCCCCACCTTTGTTCTTTAGTTCCTCATACAGATAAGCAAAAGTTGTCGTCTTAGCCTCCGTCACTGCCATCTTCGCCTCCTTCCTAGCTACCTTATACCTTTGACTGTTCTCTCTCTTCTCCTCCTCGTCAGTGCTGCCTACTAACCGCAGGTAAGCCGCCTTCTTTGCTTCCACTTTACCTAGGAACAGGGAACGAGCAGATGATCAGATATTACACGAAGCAAATTGTTCAGGGACTAGACTACCTACATTCGAAAGGGATCTTGCATCGTGACATTAAGGGACACAACATTCTGTTATGTGAAACCGGTGCCAAAATTGCAGATTTTGGTTGTGCTAGGTCAATCGATCAGGTTAAGTGGAACGGGGGCACGCCTATGTTCATGGCACCAGAAGTAGCACGAGGAGAAGAACAAGGATTTGCAGCTGATATATGGGCATTAGGATGCACTATTATAGAAATGGCCACTGGTGCCTCACCATGGACTGATTCTACCAACCCAGCTTCATTGCTTTACCATATTGCATTTTCTGGCCAAAAACCAGAAATTCCTGGATTTTTGTCTTCACAAGCAAGGGATTTTGTAAGTAAATGCTTGAGAAGAGATCCAAAACAGAGATGGTCTGCTAAACAGCTATTCAAGCATCCATTTTTTGAAGAGTCCAATTCATATGACAAAATAAATGAAGAGTTCATCACAAGTTCCCCAACAAGCATTCTTGATCAAGGCATTTGGAGTTCAGCGGAGGAATCAGAAACCGTCGACGATTCAAGACAAACAATTAGCTCAATGGATTCTCCTCTGCAAAGGCTAAGAGAGCTAGAAATGCAATCAGGAAAACCAGATTGGTTACAGTTAGAAATTACAGTGTAGATAACGAAGGTGATGATGGTAAGGTAGTTTCTGGCATGACAGCTTTGTCAACGAGGCATGAAATGGAGCTGGAAAGCTGTTATTGCCAAGATAACATTTTTTATTGCAGTGTTTGTAGTATACAGCAGAGAGCTGTAATTAGCAGTTTCAGTTTTGACACACATAAATGAATTACAGCAAATAAAATTCAGTGTTCATAAATCTCTCTCCTCTGTGTTTTACCTCAAACGACTTACCTTTCTTATTGTGGAGTATTTTTCATTTCTTATTTGCATATAAGTCATAAGTGTTTAGTACATAGAAACAAAATTCAACAGCCTAAGATAATTTCTGAATACATTATATGCCTACATTATATATTATAGCCACAAGAGTGGTAAAATCAAAGCATGGGACATGCTTCATAAATTCCACGGAGAATGATGACCTGTCATGTCCCGTCTATTGCAAAACGTTTTAACCATTTAAACAGGTTTTAGAGAAACTTTAAGTTAGTTGGAAGCCGAAATGAGTGAAAAAAATAATCAATAACAGATGTTAATGAAATTAATATTTTTTTTTCCCAACACTTCCATGGTCATGCCAATGAGGGAAAAGGCCTTAATTGAAAAAAAATGACAAAAATCCAACCAAACGAGATTTCCCTTGCCTAATCTTTTTCAGGTACCATTGTAAAGTCATAATATAAACATGTCACAATTGACATATGATGGTCCTGAAGATGAGATTATTGGAAGCAGGATTCACTTCTGCCAGAAGGTATACAACTACACATGATGCTTTTGTTGGGCTAATGCTTTCTCAACCTCTCCACCTACTCATCAGACAAGTAAAATAAAAATGAAACAACTCCAATGGATGCGACAGAAGCAGTTAATTTGCGTGAATTAAGTAATAAGGTGAAGGTCCTTGTGGGAACATCCGATAAAATTGAAACAATACAAAAAAGAGCAATGGTACCCTTCAAAGCTGAAGTCATATAGGCCCTTATAACCTTAGCTTATCTTCCATCAAAGCCTTCTAAAATTGGATCATTTGTGCAGAAAACAGATATAAACTTAAAGTTTAAAGGCCCTTCAGTAAGGCCTGTTATTATTTGGACTTCCAGTGGTATTTGCCCCAAGTGACGAATAAATGTGATGCTTGTTTCTTTAAGCTGGCCAAATTCAGTAGTGTGCATATGAATGTGGTAAGAAGCAAAATGGAGGACTGCTTAATTGAGTTTTATGTCATGGGGAAATAAAAAATGACTCCATACAAAGGAAGCAACATAATATTCTTAAATCTTCGTTCAATTCGGTAACATGAAAAAAAAGGTAAGATATTAAGAGTCGCGTGCACAGTTAGGTTAATTGGTTAAGTGCACGTGTGAGTTGAATGTATATATGTATTATTACTGAATGAGAACAACATAATTTATTTCCATTTTACTTCTTCATCCTCTCTTCTCTCTTCTCTGCTATCTTCTATAATGTACGATGACCTCCAATGGAGGTTCCTTATCTTGACATGGTATCAGAGCAACGATTAGGGAATTGATACTGCTTACTTCTTCACTTAGCTGATTCACAGTTACAAGTTCTAGGAATATCCGCCATGGGAGATACCTTGACACCTCAAATCGATCATCGTCATCCCCTTTACCTTCAGCCGTCTGATACACCTGGAGCACTTTTGATAGATATCAAGCTCACATGTCCAGAAAATTTCGGATTGTGGAGTAGGTCGATGCGTTTCGCTTTATTGGGAAAAAACAAGTTAAGTTTCGTAGAAGGAACGTGTGTGAAGAGCTTGTACAAAGGAGAATTAGCAGATTTGTGGGAGCAATGTAATGTTGCGGTACTTTTATGGATTGGAAGGAGTGTTTCACAGGAATTATTACCGAGCATAGTCTATGCATCAGATGCTTCAAAGGTATGGACTGAGTTCAAGGAAAGGTTTGGCAAATCGAATTTGACTAGATTCTATCATCTTTGGACTCAAATTGGAACCCTAACTCAAGGTACGAATTCTGTTACTACTTATTTCACTAGAATGAAAGATCTTTTGGATGAACAGGACACCTTGATACCCGGTCGTGTATGTAATTGTAAAGAATCAGAACCTTTTTTTTGAAATATTCTATCAGCAGTGCCTAGTGCAGTTTCTAGTTGGATGAAATGAGACTTATGCACATGTTCGTAGTCAAATTCTATTAAAAACCCATGTACTAACAGTAAATCAAGCATATGCCCTCGTAATACAGGAAGAGAGTCAATGAGCTCTTGGTGTAATGGACCTAAACAAGGAACCATTAACTATGTTAGCTGGAAGAGGACAAATGATGAAAGGAAAGAAACCTAGTTTGATTTGTGAACATTGTGGATATAAGGGACATCAAAAGGAAAATTGTGAGATATTCACCTGAATTCAATGCAAGGTACTGGTTTCAGAACCTATGTGAACAACACAACAGTTGAGGGAACTAATTCTGTTGAAGGTCATTTCTTTACAGAAGTGGAGTATAAGCAGTTGGTGAGTTTGTTAAACAAATCAGCATCATCTGGTGATTGCAAAGCCAATATGGCAGGTATTGTTTCCCTGCTATCCAAAACTTGTGGTATTGAATGGATTATAAATTCAGGGGCATCTCATCATATTACTTCCTATAAAGCTGAACTAATTGACATTAGGAAATTAGGGAATCAAGAAGGTAGAAAAGTGCAGGTGCCAAATGGTAACAAGTCACAGATAACTGATATAGGAGATGCAACAATTTTAGGAGGTCAGAGGATCAGAAATGTCTTACATGTGCCAGATTTCAAGTTTAATCTACTTTCAGTAGCCAAGCTGACCAAGGACCTTGTTTGTACTGTAAAATTCTTTCCTGATTTCTGTCTTCTTTAGGGTCTTTACAGTGGCAAGGTGATGGGGATTGGTAGAGAATTTGATGGCCTCTACATTCTCCAAGAACATACAAAATCAGTAGTAGGAGCAGCAATAATAAGGGGGAAACATGACACAAAATTGTGGCATTCAAGATTAGGACATCCTTCCATGAAGGCAATGCAACACATACCTACCTTGAGAAATCTAGAAGATGAGTAATGTCCAATGGAAAAATAACATAGATCAATCTTTCCTGTTAGTAGTAGTAAATCAGACTGTATTTTTCAGCTTGGACATGTAGATGTTTGGGGTCCCTATAAGAGGCCTACACATGATAAGAAGCATTACTTTGTCACAATTGTTGATGACTTTAGTAGGTACACTTGGATTTGCCTAATACAGTTTAAGTGTAAGGTATTGGTTGTATTGGCAAATTTCTTCTAATTATAAAAAATCAGTTTGGTATGATAGTTAAGGTGTTGAGATCAGACAATGGCACATAGTTTTTTTAATTCTAAATGTAATAATTTACTTTCTGGTCTTGGAGTGATTGATGAAAGTAGTTGTCCATATACGCCACACCAAAATAGATATGTAGAGAGAAAACATAGGCATATTCTGGAAGTTGCAAGGGCTCTAAAACTTCAAAGTGTTGTCCCAATTAGATTCTGGGATGAATGCATTAGAACTGCAGTCTATTTGATTAACAAACTTCCTACTGCAGTACTAAATGGCAAATCACCCTATGAAATGCTACATGGGAAGATGCCTAAAATAGAGCACCTAAGAGTGTTTGGATGTTTGTGTTATGCTAGTGCCTTACCAAGGGAAGATAAGTTTGCTGCAAGAGCAAAGAAGACAGTATTCATGGGCTACTCAGAAACCCAAAGGGGATATATGTTGTATGATTTGGAGTCACAACTCTTTTTTGTAAGCAGAGAAGTGTCTTTTGGAGAGGATATTGTGAGAAGGCACGGGAGAAAATATGATATATTGATATTGTGTGTTCAATACAATACAAGAGGTCCTTATTTATAGCTATATTATACAAGGACATACTACTCCTATTCCAATATGGGACAAGACTACATTATGTACATATCTAACACTCCCCCTCAAGCCAGTGCATACACATCATATGTACCGAGCTTGTTACACATGTAACTAATACGAGAACCAGTAAGAAACTTAGTGAAAATATCTGCTAGTTGATCATTCGACTTTACAAACTTTGTAACAATATCTCCTGAAAGTATTTTTTTCTCTGACAAAGTGACAGTCGATCTCAATGTGTTTAGTCCTCTCATGGAATACCGGATTTGACACAATATGAAGAGCAACTTGGTTATCACACACTAGTTCCATCCTATTGATTTCTCCGAACTTTAACTCCTTGAGCAACTGGTTGACCCAAACTAACTCACACGTTGCCATAGCCATAGCCCGATATTCTGCTTCGGCGCTAGATCGAGCAATTACATTTTGTTTCTTGCTCTTCCACGAGACCAAATTACCCCTACTAGAACACAATATCCAGATGTAGATCGTCTATTAGAAAGTGATCCTGCCCAATCAGCATTTGTATACCCAACAATCTGCTCGTGGCCTCGATCCTCGAATAGTAATCCTTTTCCTGGAGCTGACTTTATATACTGAATAATACGAACAACTACATCCCAGTGACTATCACAGGGAGAATCCATAAACTGACTTACAACACTCATCATAAAAGAAATGTCAGGTCTAGTCACTGTGAGGTAATTCAATTTTCCAACCAACCTCCTATATCTTGTAGGGTCTCTAAGAGGCTCCCCCTGTCCAGGTAGAATCCTAGCATTCGGATCCATAGGAGAGTCAATAGGTCTGCAACCCATCATTCCAATCTCCTCAAGAATGTCTAAAACATACTTCCGCTGTGAAATAACAATACCTTAGCTAGACTGAGCGACCTCAATACCTAGAAAATACTTCAGTCTGCCCAGATCCTTAGTTTGGAAGTGCTGAAAGAGATGTTGCTTCAGATTAGTAATACCATCCTGATCGTTGCCAGTAATAACAATATCATCAACATAAACCACTAGATAAATACACAGATTCGGAGCAGAATGCTGATAAAACACAAAGTGATCAGCCTCACTACGAGTCATGTCGAACTCCTGAATAATTGTGCTGAACTTACCAAACCAGGCTCGAGGGGATTGTTTCAAACCATATAGTGACCTGCGCAATCTGCATACACAACCACTAAACTCCCCATGAGCAACAAAACCAGGTGGTTTCTCCATATAAACTTCCTCGTCAAGATCATCATGGAGAAAAGCATTCTTAATGTCTAACTGATAAAGAGGCCAATGAAGTACATCAGCCATGGACAAAAAAAGACGAACAAATGCTATTTTAGCCACGGGAGAGAAAGTATCACTATAATCAAGCCCAAAAATCTGAGTATATCCTTTTGCAACAAGACGAGCCTTAAGCCGATCAACCTAGCCATCCGGGCAGACTTTGACTGCATAAACCCAACGACAACCAACAATAGACTTACCTACAGGAAGAGGAACAAGCTCCCAAGTGTCACTCGCATATAAAGCAGACATCTCGTCAATCATAGCATGTCGCCATCCAGGATGAGATAATGCCTCACCTGTAGACTTAGGAATAGAAACGGTGGACAAAGAAGATATAAAAGCATAATGAGGTGACGACAGACGATTATAACTTAGACCAACATAGTGGGGATTAGGATTAAGTGGGGACCGTACACCTTTGCAGAGTGCAATTGGTTGACTAAGAGGAGACAAGTCCGCAGTAGGTGCAGAATTTGATGCAGGGCGTGAATCACCTAGGCCTGATGCTAGATGTGGACGGCGATGATAAGTCAAGAATGACGGAGCTGCAGAAGGTTGAATTGGATTATGTGGAGGAATTGGACTTATAAGTGGTGGAACTGGAGCTATAGATGGTGGAACATGAGCTATAGATGGTGGAGCTGGAGATGTAGAGAAAGATGGATGGGAGATAGTGACTAAATCTCCAAAAGAAGAGACTGGTAGTACCTCAGAAATATCTAAGTGATTACCTGGACCTGTGAAGTATGATTGGATTTCAAAGAAGGTAACATCAGCAGACATAAGGTACCGCTGGAGGTCAGGAGAATAACATCGATACTCCTTTTGTGTTCTCGAGAAACCAAGAAATACTCACTTAAGAGCACGGGGAACTAACTTATATGTTCCTGGAGTAGGGTTATGGACAAAATAAGTGCTTCCAAAGACACAGGGTGGAAGAGAGAACAAAGGTAAGTGGGGAAACATAACAGAGAATGGAACTTGGTTCTGGATAGCTGAAGATGGCATACGATTAATAAGATAGCAAGATGTAAGAACTGCATCCCCCAAAAATGCAACGGAGCATGAGATATGTCATGGGCTACTTTCCAGACACGCCTCATGACCCCTTGGCCGCGCCCTATGGCGGCCTAGCGAGCCTCGAAATGCCTAGCGCCATGGTCGGCCCCGTGGTCTTGGCTGCGCCAAGTGACAAGCGCGCATGCGC